TTGTACCTGTGTGTATCTATATGTATATATATATGTATATAGGTATGTATATATATATATGTGTAGATGTATATGGTTAATCTCTTTATCTATTGTAGTCATACATATACCTTGTGAACAACGCTTGTTACTGTTGCATTTCATCTTTTCGACATCAGTATTACATCATGAACGCTGAATTCCATGTTTGATCTCATTACTTACCCACCCGTCCCTGGACATGCTTATTCTATCAATTTAATATATATATATACTAAAACCCTAAACCCCTAAACCCTAAACCCTGTATATATATATATACTACAGCGGATAGGATATATTGTGCGAATGCTGGCGACTCCAGGGCCATGCTCTCGGTCAAAGGCGTTGAATTCCCCCTCTCACACGATCACAAGCCTACAAATCCTGGTAAGCTTGTTTGGCTCCACTCGTATCTGTATTCGGTTTCTCGCATAGAAATACACCGAGAAGTTGTGTGCGCATATGTATACGCATGTGTGTGTGTGTGTGCTATATACGTATATATATATCTATATATTTACATATATATATATATTGTGCGTGTGCGATTGCGTGTGCGTGTGCGTGCGTGTTTATATTATTTTTATATACATGTATACATGTATACATGTATACATGTATATATATATATATATATATGTGTGTGTGTGTGTGTGTGTGTGTATTTATTAGATTGCGTCTTTATTTGATTGTATACGCAAGCATCAGGCTCGGAATATAATTTTATCCCAAATACTTCAACCGGCCTAGTTTTGTTCTATCAACCGAAATAAAACGTGATGTTGTAGCCGATTCGTGCGTGGGATTTATTTTCCCTTTTTTTTTTGTCATTTATTAATCGAAATATAACTTCTAATATGGATCTCTCAACTGGCCTTTTTCTGTATGCTATCAGACGAGATAAAACGTATTGTTGCGGCTGATGGATACGTGGAATTTGGGCGAGTACGCGGCAATCTGGCGCTCTCCCGAGCCGTAGGCGACTTTGAGTTCAAAACAAAACCGTCTTTGCCTGCAGAAGAACAAATGGTCACCGCAAATCCTGATATTATTGAACACGCCCTCGACAAAGATGTTGAGTTTATGGTCGTGGCCTGCGATGGTATCTGGGAGTGTATGACAAATCAGGTTTGTATAGATTTCTTGTATATATACAGATATGTATATGTATGTATATATTTATATATATATATATTGTGTGTGTGTGTGTGTGCATGTGTGTATGTATGTATACATCCATACATCCATCCATCCATACGTCCACACATAAACATATTCGTATGCATGTGTGTATGTATGTATACATCCATACATCCATCCATCCATCCATACGTCCACACATAAACATATTCGTATGCATGCGTCTATACATATTTATGTATGTGAATATGTATATGTATATGTATACATACCTATATAAGTACGTATTTGTAGTGCATACATAAATATATATATATATATATATTATATATGTGTGTGTGTTTGTGTGTGTGTGTATTCATGTATGTATATATTGATATATATATATATGTGTGTGTGTGTGTGTGATATGCATATATATATATATATATAAAGATATATATATTTGTGTGCGTGTGTGTGTGTGTGTGTTTTGCTATGTTTTCCTACCATGCACAGTCATTTATTCATGCATACCATGTACACTGTCACCAATGCAGGAAGTGGTGACTTGGGTTCGCGATCGCCTTGCCATTCATCAGCCACTGACAAAGATCTGCGAAGACCTCATGACCAAATGCTTGGCCAAAGACTCACCCTCAGGCCCAATGTTTGGCTGTGATAACATGACCGTGTGCGTTGTACTGTTTCTGCATGGTGGCAAGAGTGTGCAAGATGTCATGCTCGATATAGCAAAGGTATGTATTTGTGTATATCTATATATGGATATATATATATATATATGTGTGTGTGTATAGCTGATTCTCTGGGTGAAAAATACGCGTGGTTTTGACTCTAGGTTACGTCGATTCTAGCTATGATATGTATATGTGTATATATGGGTAGGTATATATATACATATATATATATATATATATATATGTATGTATATATATATATATATATGTATTTGTATATATATGGGTAGGTATATGTATTTGACAAAGGGTTTGTATCGTGTGGTGTAGGACCAACTTGAAGTATTACAAGTCAACGGTGTGTCTGGTTGCAGATGGTAAAGATAAAGGTAAAGCTGCTTCGTGTGCGCAACAGAGTTCAGATCTACTAGCAATGAAGAAACAGACCAAGCCGCCTGCAATTAGTTCTCGAGAGGAAGGGAGAGTGAAGGTAAGCTAGATGCATGGCTTGACTGCACTATCTCCGCTGTATTCGACTACCTGGGTGGGCGAGTTAGCGATAAATCAAAAGATTCTCCTATTTTTATTTTATTATTTTATTTTATTACAAATATATCAGCCTAATGCCTTATACTATGTACACTATCAGATGGCACCCACCGCCACAACATTGGACGAAGAGGAGAACAAATCTGATACAGTGGAAAAAAGTGAGAAAGCGGAGACCTCCTAAGGCCTCGATGTATATTAGCTGCGAGTGGGTCGGATTCTTTTGAGAAACTAAAATACGTGCTACAGTGGAACCATAGTCGGTGCTGTAAGGGAACTATACTATTTGCTATCGTACTACTATACATTGTGCTATAGTAGGACTAACATGTGTGAGAACCGAGCGCATGGTACTGTGCGTGGAAAGCGAGCAGCTTGCCACATATGATGAGCATATGTAAAGTACGCATGTGGAGCACGTGCCTTTCAAGACGTATGAAATGCATAGTGTTTAGTTTGTACTTGTATTGGGGTTGGTCCTTGAATGCTTCTTCATGAATGGTTTTGAACCAGCCTGACAATGGATTAGTGCTCATAGTCTCGGTGTAGCAGCCCTGTACGTACCCGAATCCGAGGAGATTGAGCTTCACTTCGGCAACGGGTTTGTATCGTGTGGTGTAGGACCAATTTGAAGTATTACAAGGCAACGGGGTGTCTGGTTGCAGGTGGTAATGATAAAGGTAATGCTGCTTCGTATGCGCAACAGAATTCAGAGCTACTAGCAATGAAGAAACACACCAAGCCGCCTGCACTTACTTCTCGAGAGAAGAAGGAGTGAAGATAAGCTAGATGCCTGGCATGGATGCACTATCTCCATTGTTTTCGACTACCTGGGCGGGCGAGTTAGCGGGCACGTAGCGATAATCCAAAAGTTTCATACGGTTCTCCCATTTTATTCGCTTTGCTTTTCCTCGAGACGCCTGCTGTATTTGGTTCAGATAAATTCTTTGTGATTTGGGGTACATGCGTAAAACGATCCAGCGAGAAATCAATTTGTATTTTTACTTGCAACTAAATAATAAGAGTTGAGAGTATACTCTTGACTTGAAATTTTCCAGCTCAGATATGCACGTGCCCCGTTAGCAGTCACATTGATGAAAACCCCTAAATAGCTGTTTGGTTTATTGCATACGACGAGTAGTGTCTGAAAGCACATTAAAAACCAGATATCCGCGCCGAAATAAAATCCAGGGCGCGCGAGGCCTCTGCGATTATCATGCACGTGCGTATGAGCTACACTATTTTGACGGCAGCACGAAACGAGATATAGTCGTACTGTAACATAACAAATGTGACAAATTTCGACTGTATTTGTATGTAAGCATATCTTTAAAAATGCCCTACAATGAATAATCGTGCACAAGAGATGCTAGGGCCTACATCTTTAAGATCTACAAGCGAACGCGTGAGTCGTAGAGATTTTAGTACTTAACAAGATTTAGCCTCCCTCGATAGGCAGATTGATTCAAGTTTAGAAGCTAATACGAAATTACGATATACGCCCGTGGCGTCATGGAAGTGCCGTCTATTTAGGCACAGCAACAAGCAATAGGCAGGTCGTGACAGAAATAAAGAAAAAAGTATCCCAAGCATGGCATCGACCAATGTTCACCCTAACAAAGAAATTATACAAGATTTTCCCGAACGTACGTACGACGATTTTATCGTATATGAATGTACGCTAGTACAAGGAATGTGCACTTCAAAAATCTTGTAACCCTATCATGTCTATCAGCTCCAAGGCATGACTGCATCCGACTTTTGACAACGTGGGAAGGATTGAATCATTGTGTACTTGTTCAGAAGATAGGGATAATATTATTTATTTCAAAAATGGCAAGGATGTATGATACAATGTATGAACATATGGTATGGCTCTCATAGTCGCTGTAGTGGTTCAGGAAAGATTGATGGGAAGAAGTGGTCAGTAAAATCCCGTTTGAAGCTTGGGCCAAGTGAGTCGACAATGGAAGATATGTGCTGAGTCAATTCGGGCCGGTGTTGACAAAATACTGTTACTATCGAATGTTCCATATATTCGCTTGCTGACCTACTAGGTAGAGTACCCACCTCTGTGGTACGGATCGGGTCTGCGCCGTGTAGTGCCGCTCAGTGGTCCTGGATATGCCACATTCAAAAGGGTGGTGACTGAACTTATCTCACGTTTATCATTGGATACCTGAAGGTGTAAATCGCATAAGCTAGGCTAGACAAAACAAAAGAGTATATTGTGCAGTGTTCGCTCACACAGAACACCAACTGACAGACTTGTTCTAATGAATCTCCTACCATCTACTGCAGGCATGGTTACGATGGGCAGGTAGGTTTGAAGGACTTCGTATAATTAGCCCAAATCGATATCTGCAAGCCCGGATGTACGCCAAGAAAGCATGCTTTCATATTTATGGTTTAGGGTTTGCATTGTGAAGATCAGATGCACAAGAATATTGCGATGAGGTAATTAGTTTTTAAGGAGGACATGAAACTCTTACTACCTTCAGAGCGGAAATATACCAGCGTATGAAGAAAAATAAATCAGCTTGCTATGAATTCGTGTTTATGGACGTACGGACATGAGATATTTGGTTTTTAGGAAGGCCGCATATGCCCTTTGCCGGTACAACGTCACCTGAATGTAAGATCAAATCAACTAAATTCAATTACACCAACAAATTTGTGATACTTCTGGCCATGTAATAACCTGCTTAACTCAGCCAACAGTTGTTTTCACCTTTTCAGATCATATAGGTGTGGCAAAAAGTTTGTTTTTGCGGGTTTGTTATTATCTTGAAGTTGTGCCCTGCAATTACAAGCGCGCACAGCCACATATCTACCTATACTAAGCTACGATCGACAAAGGCCATCCCGTTCGTTTACATCAGTATTACTATCTGTAATAGCGCACGAACCAATATGAGGTCCTATATCGTTCCTGAGACATCGTATTGCCACGAAGTATGACCTACCTAATTCGTCCATACGGTTAATTATTGGGAATGGTATAACCAAACATGTATTCCTATACTTCGGTTCTTGAATCCAGAACCTGTACGGTTATTATTGTATTACTGACATGGCATGCACTTCTTCACCCACTTGGTATGAGTGCTAATGTTGCTGTTAGTCGACCACAGCTTTAAAGAATTCATATTACACCGCTGCTGAAGTATATGGGACATCGAGGTCAGACACGAGCTCGTGGTAGATCAATTACACCTTTGGGTGTCTCGGGTTATAAAAATTTATCTCACTACCGTTGTCAGTGCACATAACAGCTGGTCAGTTGTAATCTGAGAAACATTTATAAATGAACTCGGTCACAGTTTGTGTTGATCTATCCTTCAGAGGATATAGTACGTTATATCTAGATACAAGCAACATCAAACACGTGACAGATACACTTATCTTTCGCGTATTCGGACGTTGGTGGCTCTACGTCACGGCTCGTATTCAGATACTCTTTGTAAGGGCTCGTATCCGTAGGGCTTGATCCGGTTAAATTCTCAATCATTGCATTTGTAAAACACCTGAGATATATATGGGATAAGTTTCGAGGAGTATATAATCATATATTGCTTAAGGTCCGAGAGTACAATCCTGTACATTTTACAGTCTTTCTAAGCACTGACCTTATACATATGCTCAAGTGCATGATTCTGCTTCAACCATTTCAGAATAGCTTCTTCGGATGATTTGCTATATCGATATTCGGAGCTACAGATTCCACTGAGTCATCGCTTGGACTTGAAAACTTTTCTCGTCCAATCTCGCTTGAGGGCTCAAAGGTGTGTATACGGATTTGTCCATTAGTTGGGTCACATGGTTATATATATATGGTAAGTCGTTCATCAGCTGTTTACGAAGCCTAGTCTTGGCCCCGTAAGCACTTACTCTGTCTGAACGTATGTATTTGTAAATGCCATTGCTAGCGATGCGACCCTCTTTGATGGAGATCGTACCTCAGTAACACATACTGCAGGTGCTTGTGTTGTCTTGATCTCTACTTGAAACCCAGATGTCAAAAGTGGAATCTTGGATTATTCGGTTCAAATATTTCAGATTACGTCTTTCTGGTTGTTCCAATTGAACCTTTTTGACATATTGTAGTGTGTCGCCAAGACGTCTTCTGGAATGCACAGGTACCCTGGTAGAGAAAAGTATCTATCTCTCCATCCACATAGATTATTTCGCATTGAGTCATTCAAGATCAACTGAATGAGTCATTTATTTGTATGTCACATGATGGTAGCATCCTGTATATGTACATAACTTGGCAACTGTGGTATCAACAACCACGGTGAACTTGTCCAAGAGTTCTAATCTGTTAGATCGATTTGAAACACGTCACCCTCTGGATCAGTTTGATGTCGCGACACTTGCTCACTATCATGAGCTGCAAACATATATATAGTATGTGGGGCATAGATGTTGTCTGCGGTTTTAAACCATCTAGGATTGGCCATTCAATCTGTAGCTAGTAACTGCAGAACAATCTTGTTCAAGCCCAGTACAAACCATGACAAAATATCTGATAAGTGATTGTGAATACGAGGAATGTGTTATGCCGAAAGAGAGTTTTGCGACCGTAGCATGCCACCGATTTGTAATTGTATAGCCAGCAACAATCAGACCTTCCAGATTCCGAACTTAAGACAAGTGATTTGAAAATCGCTGACTTTAAAGCTTGCACAATTTGCGCAGAGGCCGCAGCAAACTTAGTGATGGATCAACGCAAGATAAATGAAGCGTATCGCTACATGACGGCGACTAGACACCTACAGTCCAATATAGATTCCGAACTGCGCATGATTCAGACCGAGATCATTGTAGAGAATAAAAAGTTCATCAAGGATATCGAAAGTTGCCTACTACGTAACGTTCAGACCAAATACCGTCAGGGCCCTATCGATACTAATAGTTTGGTACAATTGTCTAGATCTTTGAAGGATTTTACCAGAACATGCTTACCGCAGATTCTTGTAAGAACCTATGGTACACTTTACGTACCTTTTACGTTGCGTGCACTTATTGAGGTTTTGTACTCACCCGATCTAGCTGAGTGAAAGCATGTGCCATTTGGTGGTGAGAAGTTTGATTTGTTGGATACCAAACTATTGTAATAGAATTCTGTGGTATTGTCTGCATGTGCATCTGCGGTATATGGATATCAGATGATACAAACAATTCAAGTTTTTGTGGCGGTATTCGCCAGCCATTGGATGGTATAAACGTTTGAAACGACTGTGATGGTGCAGACGCAGCCGAATGAAAACTTTGTTGTAGTGTCTGGTGTGGCTTCTAGGAACCAGATTATCAAAAAGCCAATCCAAATCTCAAAATCTCAGAGTCATCAAATATAGAGTTTTGGAATTAGGATTCAAATACTCTTGTTATTAGAGTCATCAGAAAAAAATGCGGTAGGACCGGTAAGCTATACCGAGACTCTGCGTGTGAGAGAAACACTCAAGTAGAAACCAAGCACAAATGGGGCTTTCCGTACTTGAGAAGAGGTCTATTGTATCCTTTGACTCGTACCTCTTCATACTCTACACTGGTCTGATGGGCGAAACTTGAATTCAGTTCGGCGGTGAGTGGTATCGTCATCTCATATCTAGGACATTTGCCCTTCTTACGTTTACCATTTCCACCAGAACTCGATTTCTCTATTGCTACCGGTTTAGATAGTTGAATAGTACCGTGAGCCTGAGCAAGGGGCAGGAAAAACTACGCGTCAATGTCTCCTACTGTAAGTCCTGAGTCCAAAGCAGAAAGTCGTGATACTTCAAATCTTTGAGAGGTATGTTGCTTTAGTAGCTTTCTTCGAGACAACTCCCCACAGCTTTTAAGGGAGACTACTGACATCCCGTTGATTTTCTGTAATAGACTTATATACTCACGTCCACTCTTGTATGAACAAGTCATCATAAAAGTGACCGCTGTTCTGTTCAATTTGCTCTAGTGAAAAAATAACAACTAACATAGAACGAACAAACTAAGTAACACAAAAGTACCGAAGGCCTTAATAATTGTGATATCTGTGACTAAGACGGACAAGCAGAGCATCAACAGCGATCAAAGCAACAATGAGCCTTGGCTTTCTTCGATTTGATGAGGAACGACCCATCGTGCCCTGATACACCGTTTTAACTCTTACAAAGAGCCCAAATCTCTTAATGCCTTCGCCAAGCAGGAGTATACTTCGGGCAAGAGTCTCGAATAAACAACCTCAGCCAGGAAATCCGTGGTCCTGAGGAAAGCAACCTCTACTATCGTGTGGTATACTTAGAAAATTCATCGTGACCTGTGTCTATGTAGCTGTGACGCCAAGCTACC